CAGGGACGCTGGACCCGATTTCCAGCAGGTGCAGCTCCCCACCAATAGATGGAGCCTTCGATGCTGGGGCCTACTTACAGGGGATGCTCTTATCACCTCGTTAAGTAGGTTTCCTGTATAAGAAGTTCCTATTGCCCGAGGATTTCAATAGGAGTGTCTAACGATGCCCCTATTCTAACTACACCTTCAGCCTACACTACCATAGCCTCTGTTTTAGCCCGTCCCTATTTCGAGATAGTGGGAAAAAAAAAAAGAAAAAAAGATCGTGGAACCCGATGACCCGCGATAGTTCCCAGAGACTACGACTAACCTCCTTTTTTTTTTTTTTTTTTTTTTTTTTTTTTTTTTAAGGGCAATGGCGTTGAGATATCATCTTCGGCCTGATCAGTTCGACTGCAGACGGATCTAACATTACTATTCCTAACTTTAAAAGTTTAAACCTCCAGTAGTACCTTTCCCATATATCAGCCCTGGGAAAAATAGAGTAGAATAGTTTGTAGTCAGATGAATCTGGACGCTCCCGTAGTGGCCAGTTCATTCATCGTTGTTGCGACTTGTTAACTGCTGCGTCTTTCGGAGGTGCTGGTGATTTAAACCACTAGTACTTGCTAAAGTAGCGCCGGTTAACAAGCCACAATTTTAGGAAACGTACGGGCCACTAGAAAAGCGGCCAAATTCATCCGACTAGAAACGTTTGTACTCTTATTTTTTTTTCCCACGGCGGATAGCTGGGCCAAGTAGTGGAGGTTTAAGCTATATGACTCTTCTTGCCAAATGTCCCTTGCCTCGGGACATTGGAGCCGAACCCGGTTTCTTTTGGACAGAAACGCTCCTTCTCACTGCACTTACCGACAGAGGTGGGCAATTTTTTTTTTCCCTCACTCTCGACCCAACCCGCCCCAAAAAAACTTTCCCCATCCACCCGGCCCAAGAATTTTATTTTTTACTCTTAGACAACCTCACCCACCCAAAATATTTTTTGAGAATTCAGCCCCACGCCCGATCCGCCCGTGACCCGAAAAAAGCCCTTACCCAAACCCGCCCGCACCCGTAAGAGTATCATCGCCCGCCCACGTCCAATACCTAAATTTTCTTCACCCGCACCCACCTGCATCAGCCCGTGCCTGCCCATGCCAGTCCCTTACACCATCACGATTTCATCGGCAACATAGCATTGCAACAAAGACATCTAAAATCCTATTATTAAAATGGCAACATCAATGCAATCAGACTTCTCTTCTTTTCCACTTCGCATACATGCAAACAGACGGCGCCCACTCAAAGCTCAGAGATATGGACAACGAGAACACAGTTCAGTTGCAAATTCACTTCAACAGGCTATGGCGCACCAGCGCCTGTACATCCCACTCTCGTCACTGTGTCCGACACCACTACTTGAACATGCTCACTCTGGATCACCCTGAATACTCCACACACGCACACTCTATCAGGTACCTCTACCCTACGGCGGCTATGGCAGCTCGCCACTACTACTATGGCTACAATCTCCCTTCAACCCACTTCGTCTTCGGGCAACCTGCAGACCACCTTTGCACAAGACGTTGTGGCAGCGCTTCCGCACGGCTTACGCAGCGAATGAATGAATGGTTGGGCGCTGCCTCTGGATTTATACTTCTGTAACTCATTGGTCTGCCCCTTTCCCAGGCCCTTGGTGCACACAGTCCCACACGGTACTTGCTTGACTGGACTCTGACTGATTGGGACCGGTGCCGCAGACTGAACGGGTTTGCACTGCCGACTCGATGCAGTCGCACTGCCGACGTAACACAGTTGGCTCACCACTTACCCACTTGCCTCTGACTAAAGGCCCACCACTTGCCCACTTGCCTCTGACTAAACGTGGGACACTTCGAAAAGCCACTTCCGGACCTTCCGGAAGGCTGTGGACTTGGCCTTTCGGGTACTGTAGCAGCTACGACCTTTACCTTTCTGGACTGTAGCAGCTACGACCTTGACCTTTCAGAGCATCTACAGCCACGACCTTTACAGAGCTGTGACTCCTAATCGACACACCTACAGATCAAACCCCTACCGCTACACGGACCTACGACAGACGACAAACAACTACCAAAACACAGATCACGGGTTCAAACACTCGGGGGTCGACTCGGTACTGTACATGGGCAAAGTGAGGTCCGGGGATCGAACTCTAGGGCCCGTATCCGTGACTGCCAAAAGGTGAAAACCGTTTCATCAACAATGCGACTCAAACTTCTCAAGGGAAAATATTTCAAGTTTTTTTTTTTTGCCAGGGACTGCTGCACTGCTTTTGCACCGGCGTTACTTCATCGGGACCTTGTCAACTGAATCAGACACTTTTTTCTTTGGCTCTCAACTTCAAACCCGACGTACTACACAAGGAAGGGGGGAGGGGGGGGCGGACATAGTTTTTGGGTCATCCTGGGTCTATGGGTCGGGTGACCCAGGCCAAGCCATCACCCGCCTGCCACCCACCCAGCGGGTGACCCAGGTCAAATCTTCACCCGCCCGTCACCCAGAAAGGCATGCTGGCTGCGCCCACCCATAACCCACCCAAGACAGCTCATGTAGACCTAAATCCGACCCATCACCCTGTGGGTCGGGTGGGTGCAGGTGGGTGCGGCTCTGGGCGCCCGGTGCCCAGCTCTGCTTACCGACCAACTACTGCCTTCCTAAGGCGGAAATTCGCACCAAGCGTTGAGGTCCTGTAAATATGCCTTTATATCACTCTCATATTGCATTTATAATAAAATAATAAAAATAAAAAAAGAAACTACGGCACAATCAGGGTTTGAGTTTGTAATTGCACTTGAGGCAAAAGGGTCGGTAATGCTGAATGTATATGACCTACGTTTATGGTCCGGTGGCGTCGCGTGGGGGTGTGTTGTATTCGCGGGATTGCCTGAAGTGCAATTACAAACTGTTTTCGTGACCGCGCCGAAGTTACCCCCCCCCCAAAAAAAAAAAAAAATAATAAAAAAATAGTACGGAAAAAAATGATCACGGTCTTGGATGGGTTCACATCACTCGCACAATGTGATGGCATGTTGACCAATTTTGCCCGCATCTCTTGCGGATTTTAGACTCCTACATGCAGGAGTATCTGGCCTGAAAAAAGACCAGATTCCAATTGGGAGAGAACTAACGGGAGAGGGGGCTTATAAACCACCAGTACATTTACCAGGTAAAAAAGTGAAGTCGCGGCGTACATACTGCCACAAACCCTTGGGAAGTACAGGGGTGCTGTTTCGCTGCACGTCCATCCAGGCAAAACGGGGCGTATGCAAGGCCCATTCTGCCTGGATGGATGTGCCGCGAAACGACACCCCAGTACTTCCCAAGAGTAGCAGCAGCACGCACACTGTGAATTTGATTTTCTACCTGGAAAATGTACTGGTGGTTGCCACTACCTTCGAGCTCTTTTTTCCAAGGCGGAAAACAACTGTGCGTCAAGCTTTGCCGAAAGCGTCAGCAAGGCTTCTCTTCTCTTTTTCCCTTTTTTTCGCTAGCACTGTTCGCCTGAAAATAGTGGAATAAATTGCGCATTTTGGTGTTTTGTGTTTGCCTGTGAAAGTTAGTGGTGGTCTAAAAGAGTCTGGGCCTTGCTCCACTACTCACTGCACACACAAAAGACAAAAAATACATCGGCGTATTTTCCCATGTTCTCCTGCAATCACTGATGTGGTGCAAACCTACCCCGTGGGTTGGGGAGAGTTCCAGGTTTGGTTGGGTGGTGGTCCCCCTGTACTATACATAGAGTAGCGAGAGGATGAGATAGAATATATGCAAAAGAAGACTGAGAGAAGAATATAGGGGCTCGTTCCACACTCCTCGGGCGAGCAAATCCCCCGAGGAAATGATCGTTCCACTTATCCTCGGGGAAGAAATTGGAAAAAAAATGTGAAAACATTTCCTCGGGGATTCCTCGAGGATTCCTCGAGCTACAGCCATTTTGACGCGTTCCCCAAGGGACCTCCCGAGGTCCCTCGGAGGTCGAGCATCCGGAAGAATCGGGACGTCATCGACGACTCTCTCGACGACATTTTGCGACGGCCGTCTGTACCACTGCTGTTCCTGGCGCCCGTGGACGGACATCTTCGATCGGCAACGGTCGGCGTCATGGAACAGTCCGCCAACGGTCCCCTTTTGCGGCCTGCTGGCCTCCACGACGTCGAAAAGCGGCTGTCTTGCGTCGCTCCCCTTGGCCCCGAGCGGGAAGGCGCCCAACGGTCGCCAGATTCGAATATTTCAACCGTCCCCCGGCCGGGCGATTGCGCACTGTTTTCACAAACGGAATGCGTTAGCCTGCTTTTGTCGTTTGCTGCGTTCAGGCGTTTGCAGCAGTGTCCCTCGCCGTTACGTGATAGATCCCCCGTTGTCTTCTAGCTGCCACCGTCATCCACGTGCCTTTTATGGCCGACGTCTTTCGGAGGCTGCCGCTGCTGCTGCTGGTCGTCCTATTGCTCCTCCTCCTGGTTGTCTTCCACGTGTGCATCCTCAACAGCGTTCCGCGACGTGGTCGCACAAGGAGGTGTTTGAAGAACAACGCCAGAATGGAGGGCAAACAGGCGATCAGCGGGTCGGCAGGGGAGCACGGTGGGCGGTGGTCCAGGCACAACCCGTCGAATAGTTCAAGGCCGTCGGAGCGGTCCGGGTACGCGCACCTGCCACCGCACTTGCAACCTCTGCCTGACACGGACGACGAGGAGGCGGATGATAGATGGTCACAGACCGTGCCGCTGGGAAGCGGATCAACCCAGGAGTGGGCGGCTACAGAGCTGTTTGGAAGCCTCGAGGGCGGTAATGGGCAGTCCTACACCGAACTCCTCCAGCAGGGGCTCAGCAACCACGATGGCGATGGCGGCGTGAATCTGTCGTTTGGACTTGGTAGCGGGAGGTCTGCAGTCGTCTCTTGAACGGTCGTCGTAAACCCCCATCCCGACGATGATGGCGGCGACGTGACGGCTGTTCAGCGAACACCCAGGTCTCCAGCGCCGCTGCGGGAGGCTTCGGGGAACAACAAGGATCCTCCGAGGCAGCAATTTTGATCGCCGTCTGTGTGTAGGGGTGCCTCCGCTCGCCCCCAGTGGATGCAGTCTCCGTCTCCCCTGTCCGCCGGTTCGAGTGCAGGTCGTCGTCTTGGCGAGTGTAGGGAGACGGCGCGTGGCGTCGCTGATGTTGGTGACGCACATGACGGGAGGGAGGTGTGGGCAGAACAGCGACGGTTGATGCGGTCGGGGCGGAAGGAGTCCATAACTCGGGGGGTGCAGCGATTGCATGTTGGGGAAGACGGGCACGACGGCGAGGAAGCAGTGGGGGACGCGCACGACCCCGACTGGAACGACAACGGCGCTGAAGGTGGGGAGGACAACGCAGGCTACATTTCGCCGTCGAAGCAGGCGGCCGCTATGGGAGGGAGGGGCGGGAAGAAGAAGTTGTGTGCCGGCAATGGTCGTCGGGGCGAAAGGACGGCGGGCAAGGGTACCGATGCTGAAGTTGACGTCGATGGGGAAGGAGGTCGTCACTTCTGGTCCGTCGACGACATTATAGCCCTCATCCGGGCTAAACGTGATCAGGATGCGCATCTGCAGGGGATGGGCCACGCGTACGCTCGGATGAAGCCGCGAGAATGGAAGTGGCTGGATGTGGTGACGAGGTTGAAGAAGGTGGGCGTCGACAGAGAGGCCGATCGGTGCGGGAAGAAGTGGGATAATCTGATGCAGCAGTTCAAGAAGGTTCATCATTTCCAAGGACTGTCTGGGAAAAAGGACTTCTTCCAATTGTCTGGGAAGGACAGGATGTCGAAGGGCTTCAATTTCAATATGGATCGTGCGGTTTACGACGAGATACTGGGGACGACCGCCAAGAACCACACCATAAACCCGAAGAACGTCGCCGACACTGGTGCGCAGGGTGGTGTGCGTCTGCCATCCGCCTCTTCTGCGGATCCTGAATCTGTGGGCGACGGGGACGGTGGTGCAGAGCACGACGACGACGGCGACGGGTCCACGAAAGGTTCTTCGCAGACGACGGGTGGCGCAGGCGGTTTCGGCAAGAGGAAGAGCACGAGGCAGCAAACTTTTGAGGCAATGACGGAGTGCATGGAGAAGCACGGG